GTTATCTCTGAGTTAAAGATTATCAACTGATTTTACCCAAGAAAACTTTTTTTATATTACAAACATCAGGTAATTATTTATGGTGATCTACGGTCAGCGTATAAACTCCTGGACTTACTGCCTCTCCATAGGCCTTACTGCCTCACGCCCTATTCCAGAAACACCATGGATCGTTACCCAACGAGAACGAAACAGTATAATTACAACAACAGAATTGAAATACATATGCAAAGGGTAAAGATCAATTTATAGATCTAGAACAGAATATTTGATATGAAAATATTATGATATAATTAGATAAGATTTTAAATTAGTATTTTATTAATGATTGATAATTAAAAAATAAAACAAGGATAAGTACATTTCTTGAATTTTATATCTTAGATTTAAGATAAATAAATATATTAAGTTAATTAATAATTTATTAAAAATGTTAAAATATAATTTATAAATATGTAATAAATAAATATTTATAATTTTATAAATTATATTATCATTATAAATTATAAAAATAATATTTTAAAATATATAAATTATTATGCAAACTTTTAAATTTATAATAAATAATTTAAATTGTATCATAATATTAATTTTAAATAGAAATAAGTAGATTGTTAATTATAAAAGTAAGTATATATCTATACCTATTATAAAGGGAATACATTTTAGTAACCCATTTGGTCTCCACTTTTTAGTGGACCTTTATACCCTTGAATATTAAAAAAAAATTTTATATCTTCTACAATTTTTAATATTTGCCTGTGTATAATTATTAGAGACACGAAGTGTTTCGACCCCTCTAGTACAAAAAAAAAATTAATTAAATATGTTATTATTATTATTGGTTAATATAATTAAATATAATATAGTTATTATATATATTATTATATTTTTATAACAGTCCGGTTATTATGTATAATATTATTACTATACATGTGTTTTCTATATATAAATATTATATATGTATATATATATATATACGTATGTTATTGAAATTAATATTAATACGACTAGGCATTACAATTTAATGGTATCAGAGCAACATTCTGTGTGTAACTTGGGAAAATGTGCTAACCATGTTTCTAGTATGGTAAACTAATCCATAAAAATTTCAGATGGCAGGAAGAAGAAACACATAACTGATAGAGGCTGTGAAAGCTATTAAAGACATGGCTACAACCTTGTTAAGGACTCAACGACCGGAAGGAATGGGGGAGTCACAAGGATTAGTTGAATTTAGGAGAAATAAACCTTCCTAATTTGACGAAGGATATAATCCTTGAAAGGCTGAATTATGGATTAAAGGAATAGAAAAGATATTCCGAGCCATGAACTGTCCTGATAACCAAAAAGTAAACTATGCAGTGTTTATGTTAGTAGGAGAAGCAGAATATTGGTGGGATAGTACTAGAAGACTATTAGAAGGAGGAGGAATAATTATTACATGGAAAGTGGTTAGAGCTAAATTTTTGAAAAATATTTTCCTAATGATGTTAGGAGGGCTAAAGAAATAGAATTTATGCAATTAAAACAAGAGAACATGACAGTGGGAGAATATGCTTCCAAGTTTGAGGAATTGGGAAAGTATTCTACTTTCTTTTATCACCCTAATGAGAGAATAAACTGTATTAAATTTGAGGATGGACTTAGACCAGAATTAAGAAAGGCAGTAGGAATATTAGAAATTTCTAATTTTCCCACATTAATACACAAGTGTCGTTTTCTGGAAGGTTTTGATCACAATAAGGATAACATACCAAAATATTTTGGTCCTCAGTTTAACAAGAAAAGGAATAATGAAGGAAAACTTTATGATCGACCTAAAGGAAAACCCCAATTTTCTCAATTTGCAGGAATTTCCAGTAGACCCATGAATAATCAAGCTAAGTGTCTTAAGTGTGGACAGGGCCATTATACTAAAGACTGTCATCTCAAAGGACCTGTTTGTTTCAAGTGTGGAAAGCCTGGTCATGTGTTTTCCGAGTGTGGACAACAAAAGGCGCACGCGAATACTTCTGGACCCAAACCAAGACCTCCTACGACTAGGAGAGTTTATACCATGACCGGAACTGAAGTGACTCAAAACAACGATCTAATACAAGGTAAATGTTTCATTAAAGGAAAAACTTTAAATGTACTGTATGATTCAGGCGCAACTCATTCTTTTATCTCCAATGATTGTGTTCAACACCTCCAATTACCAATTTCTTCTTTAGAGATTAATCTAATTGTTTCAACCCCTACAAACAAATCTATAATTGCCATTAAAGTTTATTTAGATTGCCCTATTTTTATTGGTGATAGAAAATTTCTTGTAAATTTGATCTGCTTGCCTTTATCACAATTAGATGTGATTTTAGGTATGGACTGGTTATCTTCTAATCATGTCTTTCTCAATTGTGCCGAAAAGTCTGTAAGATTTTCTTATTCTAAGGACTTATCGATTTCATTATCCAAACCAATAAGCAAGTTTTCTTGGGGTAAAGTTCAAGGATATTTAATCTTGTCCTCTATGGAAGCTAAAGAGGAAGTCGACTTAAAAAACATAGCTGTTGTTCAAAATTTTCCTGAAGTTTTCCCTAATGATATTCCTGGTTTTCCACCTGACAGAGAGATTGAATTTTTGATTGACTTAATGCCTGGAACTGGACCAATTTCAATGGCACCTTATAGGATGTCACCTTCTGAATTAGTTGAGTTGAAGAAACCATTAGAAGAGTTGCTTGAAAAACAATTCATACGCCCTAGTGTATCACCTTGGGGGCTCCTGTTTTGTTAGTTAAAAAGAAATATGGAAGTTTTAGGTTGTGTGTAGACTATCGTCAATTAAATAAGTTTACCATAAAGAATAAATACCCTCTTCCTAGGATAGATGATTTGATGGATAAATTGAGAGGAGCCACTATGTTTTCTGTAAGACCCACTTCTTTTCCCCTTCCCGCTGAACCTTTTTCTCCCTCACTCGCATTCTCTCAAACTCTCTCCTTTCTTCTGATTGTTCTTCTATTCCTTGCTCTCTCAAGGTGTTGTGTAGTGGTGATTTGGAAGCTAGCTGAAGTCTCTCTTTTCTCCGTCCGTTTCTTCTCCTCCGTTGAGCCATTCCTCCTTCTCGGAAGCTCGGAAATCTTCACCCGAGGTAAGGGAAGTTAGTTTTCAGGTTGTGGTTTGGTTGAAATGAGTCTGAGAACTCAGGTAGTTGGTGTTGATTTTCAAATTTCTGGCTATTGGGTGTGGCATTTGAGTTTTGGGGACTTTGGGGATTTTTGGGGGAATTTTTGATTTCTATGATTTTGTGGGTGCATGTATGAAAAGAGGGCGTTTTTGAACTCTTGGATGGAAATGTGATACTTTGGCTGGATTGCATGTACTTGAAAGTGACTTTTGCAGGTGTTTGGGGAAATTTTCGAACTTGGTAGGGTCGTAGATGAGCTTTGCGCTGAGCGCGTGACCGCCAGGGGACCTCATTTAGCCAAGCTCGCTGAGCGCCTTGATGAGTGCGCTGGGCGCGCTTGAGAATGTGGTCTCTGGTTGGCCCTCGCTGGGCGCAACTTGGACTGCGCTAAGCGCGATACTCATTGTAACTTGCTATTGGGCTCTAGAGGCTGCGCTGAGCGGCCCTTGTCGCGCTGGGTGTGAGACTCCTTGGGAGTCTCTGCCTCGTGGGCGCTGGGCGCAATTCCGAATTGCGCTGGGCGCGAGACCAAGGGATGGTCTCTGCCTACCCCGCGCCGAGCGCTGGGTTAGGTATGCCGGGCGAGGGAGACTCCTTGAAGTCTCTGCCTGGCCTGCGCTGGGCACAATGGATATTGCGCCAAGCGCAGGAGACACTTGTGCTCTCTGGCTAAGTCCTGCTGAGCGCGTGCATGCTTCTGGTTGTACTGCGCTGGGCGTAACTACGAGGGCGCCGGGCGCGGAAATGAGACATTTCCTTTTATGTATTGAATTATGTTGTTCTATATTGAGTAGAGTTGCAGTGGATAACTATCGATGATAACTAGTAGATAAATGTTGGTTGATTTATGTTGAGTAGCAAGGTTGTGTTGTGTTGCAAGTTGATATTGAATGGTGTAGTTGTGTAGTGTTGCAAGTTGATGTGTTGAGTCGTATAGTTGTGCAGTGTTGTTATTGACTGAGTTGTTGTAGGCCTTAATGGTTGAGTTGTTGTAGGCCATAATGGCTGTGTTGTTGTAGGCCTAAATGGTTGAGTTGTTGTAGGCCAAAACGGCTGAGTTGTTGTAGGAGATCTTCGAGGTGATAAGCGTGACGACGCATTACTATCTAATGTGCTGGTTGGTTGTATAAATTGATGGGTAGTAGAATGTTGTTGTGTTGGGGGTTAAAGTTGTTCTAATTACCTGAATTTTGTTGTACGTTGTTTCTTTCTATACTAGCTTACCCTTTTCTGTTTCCTTGTGGTTGGACTGCTATGATCGTATTATGTACGGGAGCAGAACAGGAATAGGTGTTTTGGTTCGTGGTGAGTCGGGAGCTGGTAGGCGGAGCTGGCCCTGTTTTTTTGATGTCTTGTTGTAGTAGCTACTAGATGCAGTGATTGACGATGTATTTCATTTTGATTGGATGTTTTTGATACACTCTAACTCTAGTCGGATTAAGGCTTTGTATATTTTTATATTCTAGACCCTATAATTATATACTTGCTCTTTCTGTCTAGTGTTTCCGGTGTTCAGTACGTTGTGTAGGACCTGTCGGGTCGTTACACTTTAGTGGTATCAGAGCAGTTCGAGTGTAGTGGACACTCTTTGGGGGTGGTTCCTTTAGGCTTTTGTTGTGCTAACTCTGAGTTGTGATGTCTTGATGTGTTGATTGTTGTGTTGGTTGTTGTGGTGTTTTGTTGTATTGTTGAATTGTTGTTGGTTTAGATATTGTTGTTAAAGGTGTTGTTGCTTTTGTAGACAATGTCTAGAGCCAACGAACAGATAGCCAGGGCCATGGAGATGATGGTCATGGCTATGTAACAGCAAAATGCCTATTTTTCTAGGATGGAGGCAGAGAGAGCTGCAGCTGGTGCAGCAAGGTCCACTGGGTCGCAGGAGAGCCGGGACCTAGCTGAGTTTCGGAAGTGTCATCCTCCTCAGTTCAAGGGGGAGGCAGACCCAAAGGTAGCTGACCATTGCATTTGCGAGCTTGAGAAGATCTTCACCGTGCTAGGATGTTCTCAAGAGAGGAGGCTAGCATACGCGGTGTACATGCTTGTTGGCGAAGCCGAGCATTGGTGGAGGGGTACCCATCATATGCTGACTGCCAGAGGGGTGGTTGTGGACTGGGAGTGCTTCAGAAGGATGTTCTTGGAGAAGTATTTCCCCGAGAGTGTGAGACATGCCAAGGAAGCTGAGTTCATGCGCTTACACCAAGGAGGGATGACCGTTTTTGAATATGCGATGAAATTCGAGCACCTAGCTCATTTTTATTCGCAAGGCATCGCCGAGGCTTGGAAGTGTCGGAAGTTTGCAGAAGGATTGAAATATGATCTTAGGAGAGTGTTGGTGCCTATGGCCATCACTGAATTTCCAGCCTTGGTGGAGAAGGCAAAGGTGGTTGAGCGGTTGGAAGGTGGTAACTGCGGGGTGAAGACTGTTGAGGGGCCATCCGGGTCCAAGAAGGGAGGGAACCAGAGGAAGCCATATGATAGGCCCCAACCACATCAAGGGGGTCCTGTCATCAGGCAACCTGCTGGTGCTGCTGGTGGAGGAGGACAGGGTGGAGGTGCTGCCCTGAGATGTTACAGGTGTGGTGGGTCCCATATGATCAGGGATTGCCCCCACACAGAGAATCGGTGTTTTAGATGCCAACAGATGGGCCATGTATCTTCCAACTGCTCCGCCAGGGCCAGATCAGAGAGGAGTGCTCAGAGGAGTGATACTTAGAGAGGAGATGCTCAGAGGGGTGGCAGACCCACCACAGCTGGTAGGGTCTTTGCATTGACCGGTGCTGAGGCTTCGACTTCTTCTGATCTGGTGAAGGGGAAGGGCAGAGCTGCTGGTAAGGATGTGGTATTTTTGTTTGATTCGGGAGCTTCCCACTCTTTTATCTCTTATGCTTGTGTTGCTATGCTGGATGTACCTGTGTGTGATCTGGGGTTGAGACTGCTAGTGTCGACGCCCGCGTCTACTTCCGTAGTTGCTTCTGAGTTGTGTGTTGGTTGCCCTATTGATGTGAGTGGGAAGAGGTATAAGGTAAGCTTGATTTGTTTACCTTTAGTTGATATTGACATAATCTTAGGGATGGATTAGGTATCTGCCAATCGTATCCTTATAGATTGTGCCAATAGGCGGTTGATCTTTCCCCAGGAGGAGGATGAGTTGTTGATTTCAGCTAACCAAGCTGAATCACTGTTGAGAGGTGGGCAGAGCTGCTGGTAAGGATGTGGTATTTTTGTTTGATTCTGGAGCTTCCCACTCATTTATCTCTTATGCTTGTGTTGCTATGCTGGGTGTACCTGTGTGTGATCTGGGGTTGAGACTGCTAGTGTCGACGCCCGCGTCTACTTCCGTAGTTGCTTCTGAGTTGTGTGTTGGTTGCCCTATTGATGTGAATGGGAAGAGGTATAAGGTAAACTTGATTTGTTTGCCTTTAGTTGATATTGACATAATCTTAGGGATGGATTGGTTATCTGCCAATCGTATCCTTATAGATTGTGCCAATAGGCGGTTGATCTTTCCTCAGGAGGAGGATGAGTTGTTGATTTCAGCTAGCCAAGCTGAATCACTGTTGAGAGATGGGGCAGAGTGCTGTCTTCTGCTTGCGGCGTTGAGTGTTGAGATTGAGCGGGCTATTTCTAAAATTGAGGTGGTGCGGGATTTTGCTGAGGTGTTCCCGGATGAAGTACCTGGGTTGCCTCCTACTAGGGAGATGGAGTTTAGCATTGACTTGGTTCTAGGAGCGGGGCCAGTGTCGGTGGCTTCCTATAGGATGGCTCCTGCTGAGTTGGTTGAGTTGAAGGGTCAGTTGGAAGACCTATTGGAGAAGCAGTTGGTGCGGCCGAGTGTTTCGCCGTGGGGTGCTCCTGTGTTGTTGGTGAAGAAGAAGGATGGAGGTAGTCGACTTTGTGTAGATTACCGGCAGTTGAATAAGTTGACCATCAAGAACAAATATCCACTCCCTCGGATAGATGACTTGATGGATCAACTGAGGGGAGCATCGGTGTTTTCAAAGATTGACTTGAGGTCGGGCTATCACCAGATTAGGGTGAAGGAGGGTGACATACCGAAGACTGCTTTCAGGACTAGGTATGGTCACTATGAGTATGTCGTGATGCCGTTTGGTGTGACCAACGCCCCTGCAGTGTTCATGGATTACATGAACAGGATCTTCCGGCCATTCTTGGATAAATTTGTGGTGGTATTCATTGACGATATCTTGATTTATTCAAGGACCCGGGAAGAACATGGAGAGCACTTGAGGTCGGTGCTGGAGATTTTGAAGGCGAAGCAGTTGTATGCCAAGCTTTCTAAATGTGAGTTTTGGTTGGATGAGGTGAAGTTCTTGGGCCACGTGATTTCAGCTGAGGGGATTGCTGTTGATCCGGCTAAGGTGGAGTCGGTGTTGCAATGGGAGCGCCCGAGGACTGTCACTGATATACGGAGTTTCGTGGGTCTGGCGGGTTACTATCGGCGATTCATTGAGGGATTCTCCAGGATAGTAGCGCCTCTGACCCAGCTGACGAGGAAGGAGCAGCCGTTCATTTGGACAGATGCCTGTGAGCGGAGTTTTGAGGAGTTGAAGAGGAGGTTGACTACTTCTCCTGTGTTGGTGTTGCCGGATTCTGGTGAACCCTTTGATGTGTACTGTGATGCCTCTCACCAGGGTCTTGGGTGTGTGCTGATGCAACACAGGAAAGTGGTGGCATATGCTTCAAGGCAACTGAAGAATCATGAGAGGAATTATCCCACTCATGACTTGGAGTTGGCAGTTGTTGTTTTTGCCTTGAAGATATGGCGACATTATCTGTATGGTGCTCAGTTCAGTGTCTTCAGTGATCACAAGAGTTTGAAATATCTGTTCGATCAGAAGGAGCTGAACATGAGGCAGAGGAGGTGGATGGAATTTCTGAAAAACTATGACTTCCAGTTGATGTATCATTCTGATAAGGCCAATGTTGTGGCGGACGCACTAAGCAGGAAATCCATTCACGTGTCTGGCATGATGATGAAGGAGCTGGAGTTGGTGGAGAAGTTCAGGGATTTGAATCTCTGTGTGGAGTTAGCTCAGAATCACATTAGTTGTGGGGCAATTACCATAACTAATGAGTTCTTGAGGCAGGTTGGACTCAAGCAGTTGCAGGATGTAGAGTTGGTGAAAATTTTGGGTTTGTTGGGTACCGAGAAGGCGGATGGCTTTGAGTTGAGAGGAGATGGAATCTTGAGATTCAAGGGCAGAATTTGCCTGCCTCAGGATGCTGAGCTGAAGAGGGTTGTGTTGGAGGAAGGCCACAAGAGTAGACTTAGCATACATCCAGGTATGACTAAGATGTACCAGGACCTCAAGAAGACTTTCTGGTGGTCTGGTATGAAGAGGGAGATAGCTGAGTATGTGGTGGCCTGTCTGACCTGTCAGAAGGCGAAGGTTGAACATCAGAAGCCGAGTGGGTTGATGCAGCAGATGGAGATTCTAGAGTGGAAGTGGGATAGCATTACTATGGATTTCATTGTGGGGTTGCCTAGGTCAGCTAGGAATAGTGATGCTATCTGGGTGATTGTCGACCGGTTGACCAAGTGTGCACATTTCTTGCCTGTCAACATCAAGTGGTCCTTGGAGAAGCTGACACAGATATATGTGAGGGAAATAGTACGGTTGCACGGGGTGCCTTCCAGTATTATTTCAGACAGAGATCCGAGGTTCACTTCCAGATTTTGGCAAAGTCTACACCAAGCCTTAAGCACGAAGTTGAAGCTAGGTTCTGCTTATCATCCTCGGACGGATGGTCAGTCAGAAAGGACAATCCAGTCCTTGGAAGATTTGTTGAGGGCTTGTGTGTTGGACCACTTGGGTGGCTGGGAGGAGGTCCTACCGTTGGTGGAATTTACGTACAATAATAGCTTTCATGCTAGCATTGGAATGGCGCCGTTTGAAGCCTTGTATGGCAGAAGATGTAGGACTCCTCTGTGCTGGTACCAGGAGGGTGAGTCAGTGGTTGTAGGGCCGGAGTTGATCCTACAAACTACTGAAAAGGTGAAGATGATTCAGGAGAAGATGAGGACTGCTTAGAGTAGGCAGAAATCATATGCTGACAAAAGGCGTAAGCCTTTGGAGTTTTGCGAAGGGGAGCATGTGTTTCTGAAGGTGACTCCAACTACTAGTGTGGGTAGAGCACTAAGAGCAAGGAAGTTAACACCGAGGTTTGTGGGTCCCCATCAGATCATACAGTGTGTGGGTCCGATTGCTTATCGGTTGGCTTTGCCACCGTCTCTTTCAAACCTACACGATGTGTTTCATGTCTCTCAGCTGAGGAAGTACGTCCATGACCCAAGTCATGTGGTGGAGTTGGATGATGTGCCAGTGAAGGAGAACCTGACCTTTGAGAAGTTACCAGTAGCTGTCATTGACCATAAGCTGAAGGAGTTGAGGGGCAAGTCCATTGCTCTGGTGAAAGTATTCTCCCTCACTCGCATTCTCTCAAACTCTCTCCTTTCTTCTGATTGTTCTTCTATTCCTTGCTCTCTCAAGGTGTTGTGTAGTGGTGATTTGGAAGCTAGCTGAAGTCTCTTTTTTCTCCGTCCGTTTCTTCTCCTCCGTTGAGCCTTTCCTCCTTCTCGGAAGCTCGGAAATCTTCACCCGAGGTAAGGGAAGTTATTTTTCGGGTTGTGGTTTGGTTGAAATGAGTTTGAGAACTCAGGTAGTTGGTGCTGATTTTCAAATTTCTTGCTATTGGGTGTGGCATTTGAGTTTTGGGGACTTTGGGGATTTTTGGGGGAATTTTTGATTTCTATGATTTTGTGGGTGCATGTATGAAAAGAGGGCGTTTTTGAACTCTTGGATGGAAATGTGATACTTTGGCTGGATTGCATGTACTTGATGAGTGTGCTGGGCGCGCTTGAGAATGTGGTCTCTAGTTGGCCCTCTCTGGGCGCGACTTGGACTGCGCTAAGCGCAATACCCATTGTAACTTGTTGTTGGGCTCTAGAGGCTGCGCTGAGCGCAGCCCTTGTCGCGTTGGGGGTGAGACTCCTTGGGAGTCTCTGCCTCGTGGGCGCTGGGCGCAATTCCGAATTGCGCTGGGCGCAAGACCAAGGGATCGTCTCTGCCTACCCCGTGTCGAGCGTTGGGTTAGGTACGTCGGGCGAGGGAGACTCCTTGAAGTCTCTGCCTGGCCTGCGCTGGGCGCAATGAATATTGCGCCAAGCGCGGGAGAGCCTTGTGCTCTCTAGCTAAGTCCAGCTGAGCGCGTGCATGCTTGCGCTGGGCGCGCTGGGCCTGGGGCTCTCTGGTTGTACTGCGCTGGGCGCAACTACGAGGGCGTCGGGCGCGGAGATGAGACATTTCCTTTTATGTATTGAATTATGTTGTTCTATATTGAGTAGAGTTGCAGTGGATAACTATCGATGATAACTAGTAGATAAATGTTGGTTGATTTATGTTGAGTAGCAAGGTTGTGTTGTGTTGCAAGTTGATATTGAATGGTGTAGTTGTGTAGTGTTGAAGTTGATGTGTTGAGTCGTATAGTTGTGCAGAGTCCCGCTGAGCGCGAGCATGCTTGCGCTGGGCGCGCTGGCCCTGGGGCTCTCTGGTTGTACTGCGCTGGGCGCAACTACGAGGGCGCCGGGCGCGGAGATGAGACATTTCCTTTTATGTATTGAATTATGTTGTTCTATACTGAGTAGAGTTGCAGTGGATAACTATCGATGATAACTAGTAGATAAATGTTGGT